CAGCCTCATGAGGCCTTTGTGGTGATGACACGCTGCAATGAATGTTAAGTTAAGCACATCACCTGACACACAGTAAGGCTCAGTAGAGGCCGTTCATTATATAAGGATCCTTTCAGAAAAAAAGGAGAAATAGAAAACCTTATAGGAATAGAGTTTGTTTTCCATTCCTATAAGAAGAAAGAGGGACGGAGGGAGAACAAGAGAGAGGGAGAGAAAGAAAGGAATGAAAGAAAAGAAAGGAAATAGAATTATCACATTTTGTTCTAAACTAGCCATGCCAATGATGGGGGCAAAAAGCACTTAAAACTTGATCTCTCACAAAATAGTCTTTTAAATGTCTTCTGTTGGGATATAAGAAGCATTGAAAAGTACATAAAACATAGATGCACAGTTGCCCTACCACCTGGACAAGATACGGCTGCCACCAGGCATCTAGAAACACCCCTGTGTCCCCAACCGCTATGCTACACCATCCTTCACCTCCACCGCTAAGTTCATAATCCTTTATCTATCATCCCCACATGTCGCAGATGGCTCCCTTCATAATTCTTACATTCAATTCCAAAATTCTGAAACTGTCTGGCAAACTTACCCAGGGTGAGCAGATTCCCTGGAGTTCTGGAAGTGATTATTTGGTCTGTTTATATAGGATTGAAGCTCTGATTTTGGTCAAATATTGCTATTCAACAAGAGACGGTGTGTGCATGAATCAAACTGGAAGTGATCTCTTTGCCCAGATAGACGAAGAATGTATCCTGAGAATGACCCAGTGCAGTAACAGAGTGTCCTGCCCTCCAGTTCAGCACAGGAGAGGGGAATAACCAGGGGGCACAGAAGGAAAGAGCCAGAGGCAGAAGACTCAGAATAGGCATTAGCCATGAGGGATAGGAGAGAAGAGAAATTCCAAAGACTGTTTCTGGTTGCTAGTTAGGGTAGTGCCATCATGGATGAAAATGGCAAAGAAGGCAGAGTGAGGTGGTGATGGAACAACTTCAAACTTAGCCTAAGAAAGGCTCAGGAACCTGCCTCACTGAGTCCTGGATGTGCCTTACCGTGTTTTGCCAGCTGACATTAACACAGCCAGGTGGAGCTCATGACTCCCAGGCCAGGCTCTCGGCAGCCCCAGCACGCTACAGATTTCAATGTGTACAGGAACCACCTGGGGATCTTGTTAAAGTGGAGACAACCATTAGAGCGTCTGGGGTGGAGCCCGAGACTCTGCACTTTTTCTCTTTCTTTCTTTTACACAGGATCTCACTGTTGCCCAGACAGGAGTCAGTGGCACCATCACTGCTCACTGCAGCCTTGACCTCTCAGACTCAACACTCAGTCTCCACCTCAGCCTCCCAAGTGGCTGGGACTACAGCTGCATGCCACCACGCCCAGTTAATTTACTGATTCTTTGTAGAAATGGAGTCTTGCTATGTTGCCCAGGCTGGTCTCCAACTCCTGGGCTTAAGCAATTCTGCCGTCTGGATCTCCCAAAGTGCTGGGATTACAGGCATGAGCCACCACACCCGGCCAGTTCTGCATTTCTAACAAGCTCCCAGGTCATATGGATTCTGCTAGCCCAAGTCCCACACCCTGATCTGCAAAGGGGTGCCAAGGACTTGGGGCTCTGCATCGTCTCCACAACCACCCAGCCCACAACAAACCCACAGCCAAGACTCTGGGGAAACGTTGAGCCCAGTTAAGTGTCCTAGAGAGACAGAGAGAAACTGTCCTGGAAAACAATTTTAAGTCCAACAGCTGCTTGAACTTTGATACCTGCTAGAGAAGCTCTCAGCGCTGCTGGGAAAGCCAGCCTTGGAGCTTTGCAGCCTGAATCAGCTCTGAGAAAAGAAAGCAACCGGAGTCCCGGCTCCAGGACTGAATCTCACCTCTCCCAACCCCTGCCCGACCTCCAGGCTTTCCTGGCTGAATGCAGACAGAGAAAACACCCAAACGCCCCTCCAGGGAAGAAGGCTGTGCAAAGATTTGCATATTTACCTGCCACGTGCCCAGGCCCACAATGGGCATCTTGGCTTTGGTACTGAGCTCCACAAAGGTGGTCATGGTTGGTGCAGAAATGATTCTGAGTGAGTAGGTAGAAGTCTCACGTCCTGCTGTGTCCAGAGTTGGTTGCTTCTGGTGGGTTCTTGGTCTCGCTGACTTCAAGAATGAAGCCACAGACCTTCGCAGTGATTGTTACAGCTCTTAACGATGGTGTGTACAGAGTTTGTTCCTTCAGATGTGTCTGGAGTTTCTCCCTTCTGGTGGGTTCGTGGTGTCGCTGACTTCAAGAATGAAGCCACAGAGTTTCGTGGCGAGTGTTACAGCTGTTAAAGGTGGTGCAGACCCAAACAGTCAGCAGCAGCAAGATTTATTAGGAAGAGGGAATGAACAAAGCTTCCACAGCTGGAAGGGAACCCGAGCAGGTTGTTTATTCCATTATTTATCCCCGCCCATGCGTTGCAGATCGGTCCATTTTGCAGAGCACTGATTGGTGCATTTTACAGAGTGGTGTTTGGTGCATTTACAATCCTTTAGGTAGACACAGCTCTGATTGTACATTTTTACAGAGTGCTGATTTATGCATTTACAATCCTTTAACTGGACAGAAAAGTTCTCCAAGTCCTCAATCGCCCCAGGAAGTCCAGCTGGCTTCACCTCTCAATCCTCCCTCTAAACAGGACATCCTAACTGCTGTTGGGAATTGGGCGATGTCCACTCTAGACACTTCTTGCTGGATAGGGGTGAACAAGGGGCCCTGCAGTTGTAGTGTCCTTCAGAGGGGAACTCTTTAGGCCAGTCAAAGGGCCAGCAGGTCAGTCCAAGGGTCCTCGGTACAAGTTGTTAGTCGAGCACACTTGGGGTTCCATTTGTAAGACCATCTGTAGCTTGATGGTGTCAATCCTAGAGGAAACAAATTTACAAGGAGGTTAAAAATACAGGGCCCAAAGGTGAGTAATAGCAAGATGGCTGTCACGGGCCTAGAAAGGGGAGAAGCCATGTTGCCCAACTCCAGAGGTTGGCATAAGAGTTAGAAAGGCATTGTCTGATTTCAGAAGCCTTTTCCTGTAAACGTCGGGTGGCATCTCGTACTATCCCTGACTGGTTAGTGAAAAAACAATGCTCTCCCCCTAAAAAGGTGCAGAGCCCTCCTTTCTCAGCAGTGAGGAGGTCAAGGTCTCGGCGGTTTTGGAGAGTCACTGCTGCCAAATAGTCTGGGATTGTAGAGTAAGGATAGATTTCGTTATTTCTTGCAAACTGTCTGAGAAATCCTTTGAGAGTGTGTGGTAGTAGGATAATGAAGTAGATAAACTGGCTATTCCAGTTCCTGTAGCAGTAGCTGGTCTTAACCCTGTAAGTAGGGGTAGTAGTTGTATGGCTCTGAGCTGATGGACTTGAGTTTTGAGGGGCACTGATAGGGTCTGATTTCCTGGGGCAATGTTAATGTTGGGACTTAGGAAGACTAAGGTGCAGGTGCCTGTCCACTTAGTGGGGAGGCAGATGTAGGTTGACGTTACACAAAAGAAGAATATGCCTTGCTGGGTAGTCAGAACAGGGTGTGTATATTAAAAAGGTGTGTGAGTTTATTGTTTTCATTTTCCCATATTTCTAGAGGACTTGCCAGGGTAAATCCAGTGAGTGTCTGGAAAGGGGTGTTGGGAGCAAACTGAATGGCTCTCTGTGTTCTATTTTCCCATTGGAGAAAAAACCATTTTGTATCTACTAGGAACCATTCAAGAGAGTGCCTGAAAGATGGGATGAGATGGGATGAAAGATTGGTGCATTTTTGCAGAGTGCTGATTGGTGCATTTACTATCTGCTAGCTAGGGAGAAATGTTCTCCAAGTCCCCACTCAACTCAGGAAGACCAGCTGGCTTCACCCGTCACTGCTTTTTGTTTGTTTGTTTTTGAGACGGAGTCTTGCTCTTACTCCCAGGCTGGAGTGCAGTGGTGTGATCTCGGCTCACTGCTACCTCCATCTCTCGGGTTCAAGCAACTCTTCTCCCGAATAGCTAGGATTACAGGCGCCCACCATCACTCCAGTCTAACTTTTGTATTTTTAGTAGAGACAGACTGGTCTCAAACTCCTGACCTCAGGTGATCCACCCACTTCAGCCTTCCAAAGTGCTGGGATTACAGGCATGAGCTTCTGCGCCTGGCCACATCCTGCTTAAGAAGGCTGGTGCTACCTGCTGTGGGAAGAGCTGGAGCCTGGCCACAGTAGCTTCCCTGCCCTATCCAAGCAGGAAATCCCTTCCAGGCTTTTGTGAGATTGACGATTGTGTGAATGAATTATTACACATGGCAACCTTGTGTAAATTTCTCTTATGTAAGAGTATCATTGGCATTTTTGTTTGTTCATGATGAGTCAAGAAATTCAAAACAGCCCAAAGTTGGAAAGTAGCGAGGGAGAGAGAAAGGAAGGAAAGAAGAGTAGGGGGAGGGAGGGAAGGAATGAGGGAAGAGTAAAGAAGAGAGAAAAGAGAAAGAAAAAGAAGGGGAGTAAAGGAAGGGAAGGGAGGAAGGCAGGAGGGCAGGAAGGCAGAATGGCAGGCAGGCAGGAAGGAGAAAGAAAGAAAAGAAAGAAGAGAAAGAAAGAGAGAGTGAGAGAAAGAAAGACAGACAGACAGAAAGAGAGAGAAAGGAAGGAAGGAAAGAAAGGAAGGAAGGAAGGAAGGAAAGAAGGAAGAAAGAAAGAGAGAGAGAGGGAAAGAAAGAAAAATGAAAGAGTAAGAAAGAAGCCTGGCCAACATGATGAAACCCCATCTCTACTAAAAATACAAAAATTAGCTGGGCATGGTAGTGAGAGGTGAAGCCAGCTGGACTTCTGGGTTGGGTGGGGACTTGGAGATCTTTTCTGTCTTACAAGAGGATTGTAAAATGCACCAATCCGCACTCTGTAGCTAGGATGGTAAAATGCACCAATCAGTGCTCTGTGGCTAGCTAGAGGTTTGTAAAATGGACCAATCAGCACTCTGTAAAATGGACCAATCAGTGCTCTGTAAAATGTACCAACAGTATGCCTTAAAATGGACCAATCAGCACTCTGCAAAATGGACCAATCAGCAGTAAGTGGTCAGGGAAAAATAAAGGAATTAAAGCTGGCCATCCCAGCCTGCAGAGGCAACCCACTTGGGTACCCTTGTATGCTGTGGAAACTTTGTTCTTTTGCTCTTCAAAATAAATCTTGCTGCTGCTGACTCTTTGGGTCTGTGCCATCTTTTAGAGCTGTAACACTCACTGCGAAGATGTGCGGCTCCATTCTTGAAGTTAGCGAGATCACGAACCTACCGGAAGGAACCAACTCCAGACACAGTGGTCATGTCTGTCATCCCAGTTACTTGGGACGCTGAGCCAGGAGAATCGCTTGAAACTGGGAGGTGGAGGTTGCAGTGAGCCGAGATCATGCCACTGCACTCCAGTCTGGGCAACAGAGTGAGACCCTGTCTGAAAAAGAAAGAAGGGGAGAAAGAAAGAAAGAGATTAAGCAAAGCAAAGAAAGAAGAAAAAACAAGGACTATCTTTCCCTGTGCTGGTTTCCTCTGTGAAATGGAGTGTAGGGAGGAGAGGTGAGAAGCAATGTTTCCATTTTAAGAGTAGCAATTCCAGGTTTAATGCAGAGATGGTCAAATCCTGAGCTGATTAGAGTCAGCTGTAACTAGTTGGTAGTCAGCAATCTAGGGAACATGATAACGGCCTGGGCCATGCTGTAACACACCATGACAGGCCAGGGCCACGTCACAGCATCAGCTTCGGCTTGAGGGTAGTGGGTTTTTCTGTTTTTTTTTTTTTTGCGTTCTTGTTTATGAGGTGGGTTTGCTTGAAAATTGAAATGGACTTGAATCTCTGGGCTGTGGCTTATGACAGCTCTTAGAGGGCAATTGGCATGATATTTTGCACCTATGAGTGAAATATCTTAAATTTCATTGACGTTTGTTAACTTATCTACTTTGACATTAATAATACGTGTATGGGCTGGGCATGGTGGCTCATGCCTGTAATCCCAGCACTTTGGGAGGCCGAGGAGGGTGGATCACTTGAGCTCAGGAGTTGGAGACCAGCCTGACCAACATGGTGAAACCCTGTCTCTGCTAAAAATCCAAAAATTAGCCGGGCATGGTGGCACATACCTGTAGTCCCAGCTGCTTGGGAGGCCTGAGAATCACTTGAATCTGGGAGGGAGAGACTGCAGTGAGCCAAGATCGTGCCATGCACTCCAGGCTGGGCGACAGAGAGAGACTCCGTCTCAAAAACAGATAAATAAATACACGCATGCCTCATCATCTGGTGGCCACAAAGTCTCCTGGATGTGTACATGGGGCACCTTATTTTCCCAGTGTATACTGGATGACATGCAGGGCTAGTATTGTTGAAATAGTAAATCCTTAGTGACCGTCAAGCTAAATAACAGAGAGAGGTCCCTAAAAGAAAAATATTTCACTGGGAGAAGAGCACTGCAATGGGAATATGCATGCCAGAGGAAGCTATGTGTATATTTGGGGAAAAAAGAAGACAAAAATTTTTCAAGGAAAAAATGAGGATTATCGAATTGCTTTGAAATAATTAGCCTTGGCTACAAAGATCAATCATGAAAGTGTTAGTCTGAGATTGGACAGACAGTTGTTCAGAGGTCCTTGCAGAGTATGTTTTGTGTTCAGTTACAATGGCCTTTGTTCAAGGTTGCGGTTTTTGCAGTATTTCATGGTAATTTTGGTTTTCAGTTGTACAACCATTAGAACCCTCCTTTCATGGCCTTCTGAGCTGTATTTGTTGTTGTGTGTGTGTGTGTGTGTGTGTTTTTTTTTTAACAGTGACTCCATTTTGATTCTGACCATTTTTACATGATGCACAGAAAAAAGAAATGTGTATTATTCATGATAATATTCCTTCGAGAACCACTTAACTATGAATCGGTGAGGAGGGAGATCTTTTTTAGATAATTGAGATTAAGAAGGTATATCGATTAGCTGTTTTTCTGTAACAAACCAACTGGTTATAACAGCAACCATTTATTTGCTGGTGATTTTGTGGGCTGGCATTTTGGACAAGAAGCAGCTGATAAG